TTGTGGAACTCTTAATTTTTGTCTATCAGATATAATGAACCATTAATTTCCTCTGTTGCAATATTTCAATATGTTGTTTAAATTCCAAATAAAGAACTTCCAATTATCTCCAGCTTCAGTTGGAACTATAGCCCGTGCAAAGGGATACAGTTCATTATTCCCATCTATAGCAACTACTGTTAGAAGGACATCTCCATAGTTCCCTTAAGATGAGCACCATTGACAGGCTAAAGTGTATCACCTAATCAAAAGTAATTCATAAAACCATTAACTAAAATAGATAGAGAAGTAGGGTCTAATCTACAGGGAAATAATGTTCTTTTATTCCTAATAAAATATTATATTCAAAATTATCAAGAAATAAGGAAGAATTGTGTGAATTATACTACGACAATAATTAAACTGTTGGGGTTTGGTGAGTCCGACTCACCGCGGAAATAAACCCAAAAACAAGACCGCACTTGCAATAAATAAAACCATAAACATAATTAAATTAATCACAAGATTAAGATAAAACGATTATCTTTTTGGAGCGTGCTTCGCCTGACCTAATGGGCTCTTACTTGAAAGCTAGCTTCAAAAACACGAAGCCTCCAACGTTTATCTATCTGCACCAATGAACACCGACAAGGTCCAATGTCTTGGGGTTAGCAAGACCCGACCAATAAAACCCGAGTAATTGAGTTCAAAGACTTTCACTAAATGTGATACCTTTTACAACTCTTGAGTTCAAGGGTTTTCACTTACTAGTGATGCACTTTCCAACTCTTATTCAAGCATCATTTCCAATGCCCTTACTTGGGTATTCATAGGAAATGATGAGAGTATGATTGTCTCTCTCACCAATGTGGGATAGTGTGATTTTCACATATTATTTTAAAAGCATAATAAAATTATTTAAGCAAGCTAATAATAAATCAACAAGTGTCAACTACATATGAGAAAGTAGGTGCGGACCACTTGGAGAGGGGGGGCCAAACTTTCTCCCCACTCTCTCCCTCACCTAGCGCCACTTGGCACCTCCCTCCAACACACTCATGTGGGCTTCCCACATGCTGCCGTTGCTTTCTACTCGGCCCAGCCAAGCCCCGCACCATGGCGGGCTGCTACTAGCCTTCTCGGCCAGCATGCCTACGCACATGCATGCGGGCTGTGCTGCCTAGGGCTGCTGCTAGCACGCCTCGCACATAGTGCGGGCTGCTAGCTGCAGCGCGCCAGCACGCTACGCACTAAGTGCGGGCTGCTGGCCGCAGCTTGCTAGCAAGACTCACACTTGGTGCGGGCTGCTAGCTTGGCTAACCCCCTAGCACTCGGTGTTCCGATGCTAAGGGTATTTTTATCATTGTTGATTTATTACCGTTTTGTCGTCTCGTCTTTTATAAATTTCAACTCGACTTTCGACGCTCAGTTTCGACGCTCTAAGCTCGAATTTCCGACGTCTTAATATTTATTAATTGGGCTACTCATTAATTCCTTCCAAATTAATTTGTCGTGTCGGTTCGTTAATTGCTTGGGTGTGACCCGAAGGGTTCAGTCAAGATTAAGCTGTAATATTAATTATGCAATAATATTACTGATCGAAAGCGGCCTCCATCCAGGCATTTCGATCACTTGACCTTACTGAAAACATTAGCTTTGTAATAATTCTAAACCCACTATCAAAATAATACACTTATTCAAAGGACACGATTCATATCAACCTCCCACTTGTCCTTCCGGACAAGTGTGCTTTTAGTGTATAGCCTTTTTCTTATGTCGCTTAATGCCTCTTCATGAACTATACGGTAAGATTATTTTGTCATCCTTATTACGTCCAGAAGTGTTTCTCGATTCCGAGTCCGACTGTCAATAAATAGATGATTTCTAAAATCCATTCGAGCACGACCATGCATTTTTACAGTCTCTCTCTAAAAGAGGCCTTGTAAACAACAAAGACACCTTCCCTAATTTTAATAGGGGGACATTTCTAGTCTTGTAATGTAGCTTCTCTTACAAAGAGCACCTAGCTGCGAGTGATGTCGTTATAATCCCCAGTTATGGCAGACGTTTGACAATCATCAAAGCGGACTAATACTCAAACAAGAAAGCTCACAATACTCATGGTCAAGGAAAAAGGTTCTGATAGCAATAATGAGAAGTATACTTATGATAATTTTTTTACCTCTTAAAGTATTCTCATAGGTCGATCCAGTATGGTTCTAAACCAATACCTGTGCAAATGATTCATGACAATCATATCCTTGTAGCACATGAAATGGTGCTATAAATCAAACTACACACTAATCTCAACTGGTCATTAATCGTCCATTGTTAAATGACCTTGATTAGGGATAATTTTCTATTATAATATTTAACATTCACTTAATAGGTGTTTCCTTACCAAGACTGGTTTTGATACTTTGAATATTCCAAAAATCGGATGGACTTATTATTTAATTCTAAACCACAATTAAATAGTCAACGAAGTGATTTAAATTGCATAAAAAAATTAATTACTCCAAAAATTGAATGGTTCATCATAGTGCTTTACATTAAAATAAGGAAATCAAAGCCAATCTCCAATGTGCCTGATTCTCATTGCCTCAACGTGCTTGTTGTGCTTCACTTAAGGCAAAGTTTTAGTCAGTGGATCGGCTACATTTTTATCCGTTCCAACTTTACAAATTCTGATTTCACCCTCTGATTTCCATTCTCGAATCATGTGAAACTGCCACTTGACATGTTTGTCCTTTTGATGTTCTCTTGGTTCTCTAGCCTGAGCAATAGCTCCATTTTTGTCGCAATAGAGGTCTAATTGTCCCTCGATGGAGGGTACAACACCAAGTTCACCAATGAACTCGCGAATCCAAACTGCCTCCTAAGTTGCCTCATATGCTGCCAAGTATTCGGCTTCAGTTGGAATCTGCAGTTGTGCTTTGCTTAGCACTCTTCCAACTAAACGTTCCTCCATGGATACAGAATATGTACCCAAACTATGACTTGAAGTCGTCTATGTCTGTCTGGAAGCTTACGTCGGTATAACCCTCAACAACTAATTCATCTCTACCACCATAGCCCAGGAATTTATCCTTGTTCCTTTTCAGGTACTTTAGGATATTTTTTGCTGTAGTCCAATGCGCCTCTCCTGGATCTGATTGGTATCGGCTCGCAGCGCTCAAGGCATACGACACATTTGGCCTAGTACATATCATGGCATACATGATTGATCCAATAAGCGAAGCATATGGAATCTGATTCATACTTTCTCGCTCATCAGGTGTCTTTGGACACTGATTCTTGCTTAGGGTTATGCCATGCGACATGGGTAGGTGGCCTCTCTTGGCTCCTTCCATGCCAAATCGAGTTAGTACCTTATCAATATAAGTACTTTGACTCAATCCTGTCATCCTTTTTTATATATCCCTATATATCTTGATGCCTAGTATGTACTGAGCCTCTCCCAAGTCTTTCATTGAAAAACATTTTCCAAGCCAAGCCTTTACAAACTGTTGATGTTTAAAGGTTTTGATGATGAGGAACTTAAGTTACAGCAAACTCATCTCATAAAGACTTTTCAAGTGTTTGTGCAGCCTAGGTGAAATTGATCTTGGAGATGGAAGAAGTAACTAAAGCTGAGAAGACTTGAAGGAGTTCTTTATCAAGAAAGTTATTCAATATAAAAGAAGAGTTCCCTAACAGGAACTGAGTTCCCTCACAGGAACGTTCCTTCACAGGAACGTTCCTTCACAGGAACTTAGTAAGCGTGAAGTCCAAGTAAACCTACCAGAACAAGAGTACAGCGCAGCAATGTTTTAGTTAAGATTTTATCTTCTAGATTCATTGTTAAATATGTTAAGTAGGATATGCATGAAACTTATTAGAAGCGTGACAGTTAGCTTGGAAAATAAATTAAAATCGGAAAAGATAAAAGATAGAAATCGGAAAAAGATTTTCTTTAAATATTTATCTCTTAAAATCAGTTTGTTAAAAAGATATTATGCTTTTTAATTCAATATTTCTATCTTATTTTCTGAAAATATTTTCTTCAAAGGATTTAATTAAAAACCGTGTTTTAAGATAAGTTAAGTTTTACTTATTTATCTTTATGTAAACCTACTGTTTATACAGGTAATACTCGTATAAATAGTAGAGAATAATATGAGCCTAGGTTTTTGTGAGTTTTATGCGTGAAGAATTTACGGAGCTATAGTTGCGTAAGTTTGCCAAGCTTATCATACTGTCATATTAGTTTCGAGTTTCATGCATAGCATGCCTATCATATACTAGGTGTTAATTCTTGTATTTGGTTTCGGGTTTATTAGGGTAAGAGTATTTTTATCATTGCATACAGAGAGAGCTTCTGGTGAGAAGGGGGAAGATCTGTACTTAGGGAGTACGAGTGAGTTTGAGTGTGGGACTCAAACTGGGTAGAACAAGGTGTTGTTCTGTAGCAAGTTCATTCAGGAACTTGAGAGTAGAGGCTGAATTATAATAGGTTGTAACTTGGTGTTTTCCCTATTATAGTGGAATTATTTGTGTTTGAAATCCCTAAGGTAGGGTCGAGGTTTTACTTCTAGTTGGGAACTAGAAGGTTTCCTCGTAAAATCTGTGTGCATCGCAAGTTCCTATTTTGTTTTGTTTTATATTTGCAAAATTATTATTTAGGAACTCAACTACAATTCACCCCCCCCCCCCTCTTGTAGAGTTCATCTCAATTAACAATTGGTATCAGAGCACGGTTCTCACGTGCAAGCAGATAATTTTGCTGAGTAAGTTCTTGGAGAGATGAATTACAAGGAGAAACTTGAAGAAGGGTACTCTACCCAACGTCCACCTATGTTCAACGGTAAGTTTTATGCCTACTGCAAGAACAGGATGGAGATATTCATCAAGGCAGAAAATTACCAGGTTTGGCGTGTAATTGAAACTGGTGGATTTGAATAACTCAAACCAATGACAAGCATGAGGTAGTCTCTAAAACTATTTATGATTATGATAAAGAAGATTATCAGAAACTTGAAATGAACGCTTTAGCTATAAAGTATCTGCACTGTGGACTTGGACCCCATGAACATAATCGTATCATGGGATGCAAGTCTGCTAAACAGATTTGGGATTTGTTACAGGTAACTCATGAAGGTACTAACGAGGTAAAATGTTCTAAAATAGATTTATTGATGTCTAGGTATGAAAGATTTAAAATGCAATCCAAAGAGACCATAGAAGAGATGTTTACCAGATTCAATGATATTATTAATGAACTGAACTCCCTTGGCAGGCAAATTCCTATTGATGAACAGGCAAGGAAGATCTTAAGAAGCCTACCACAAGATGAACGCTGGAGATCCAAGGTTACTGCCATGCAGGAAGCTAAGGACTTTACTAAGTTCAATATGGAACAACTAGCTGGATCATTGATGACTCATGAACTTCATCTAAGTTTCAACACTGAAAGTTCCAGAAATAAAGGTTTGGCACTCAAGGTCGAAGACTCAGAAGGATCAGATGTTGATGAAGAAGAGATGGCTATGCTAGTGAGGAAATTTAAGAAGATGATGAACAATAGGAAGTTTGATAGGAACAAGAAGTATACAAGTTCCAGAAACACAACGTGTTTCAAGTGTGGATCAAAGGATCATTTTATCAAAGATTGTCCTGTTCAGGATGGAGAGAAAGGAAAGACTAAAGGCAAGGAGCAATCCAAGGAGTCAAGAGTCTACAAGCCTTACTTCACCAAGGACAACGTTAAGAAAGCCATGCTTGCTGCTTGGGGAGATACAGATTCAAAAGAAGAAGAGGAGGATCAACCATCAGAAGAAACTGCTCATTTATGTCTAATGGCAAAAACTGATGAAGCTGCCAAACTGAAGGAGCTTGAGTCTGAGGTATGGTTCTCTTACAATAAATTAAAACATCTGTCTAAAGAGAATCTAATAGATACTGTTTTGGAAATCCAAGAAGATCTAAAAGAATTGCATAAATCCGAACATCTAAGTGATAAAGCTTTGATAACTTACAAAGAGAACAGTGAATGGGTTGATAACATGAAGTTTGACATTCAATACAGGTTCTTCAGTCTGTTTGATGACCATAAAATTCTAAAAGAGACTCTAGAGAACTTAAAACAAGATAACATACTCTTGAATGTGGAATTGTCTTTGTTAAAACTGAGTGTTGATACACCTAACTCTGAAGTTCCTCCACCGACTGATTATCCAAATTTTGAAAAATTGAAACATGATTTGGAAGAGTTAAAAATGGATAAGGCACGTGTTGAGGGGGAACTTGAGAGGGCTAGGAAAGGTAAACAACCAATAGAGTATAGAGTTCCTGATTGGATCACTAAGGCTCAAACTAAGAATACTGAAGGTTTAGGTTTTAAAAAGAAGTTCTAGAAAGAAAAGAAGTATGTCAACTTGCCCAATAGCATTGTTTGTTATTTCTGTGGCAATACAGGGCATAAGCAAGCTAAGTGCCCTAAGAAAGAACAAAGCACTCAGAAGAATATCAAACATGTAAAACAAATCTGGGTAAAGAAAAATGAATCAACCCATGTTACACAGGAACCCAAGGAAACCTGGGTTCCTGACTCTAACGTTTAAATTCTTCTTGCAGGTTCCAGTGAGGGGGAACAACACTTGGTACCTCGACAGTGGTTGTTCTAAGAACATAATTGGAGATAAAACTAGATTTCTCTCACTGGATGCCTACTATGGTGGAACTGTGACCTTTGGTGATAACATAAAAGGTGATATAATTGCTATTGGAAAGATAGGAAGGTCACGTTCCCATGCTATTGATAATGTATTTTTGGTCGAGGGCCTCAAGCACAATTTGTTAAGTATTTCTCAGTTTTGTGACAAAGGTAACTCTGTTAGCTTTACTTCAAATAAGTGTAGAATCATCCACAATTACACTGGGAACATTATTTTAGAAGGAACTCGAAAAGGGAACACATATGTTGTGGATCTTAACGAGGTTCCTAACAGTAGTTTAACATGTCTTAGTGTTATTGAGGATGATCCTCTTTTATGGCACAAAAGATTTGGCCATGCAAGCTTTTCTTTACTGGATAAATTAAGATCTAAGAACTTAGTGGAAGTACTTCCTTGCATTAAGTTCCTGTATGACAAAGTGTGCGAAGCTTGTGCTAAAGGTAAACAGACCCGAATTTCTTTCAAGTCCAAAAAGATGGTAAGTACCAAAAGACCTTTGGAACTCATTCATATGGATCTCTGTGGTCCAATGAGAATCCAAAGTAGAAGTGGTAAGAAATATGTAATGGTTATTGTTGATGATTTTTCAAGGTTCACTTGGGTTTTCTTTCTTGTAAGTAAGGATGAAACGTTTGACGAGTTTTTTGCTTTTGTTAAGAAAGAACAGAGAAGAACAGGTAATCAGTTGATACATCTTAGATCTAACCATGGAACAGAATTTGAGAATTCAAAATTTGATGAGTTTTGTGCTGAGTATGGTATGGATCACAATTTCTCTGCCCCAAGAACTCCACAACAAAATGGAGTAATGGAACGCAAGAATAGGAGTCTTGAAGACATGACAAGGACAATGTTAATATCAAGCAGGCTGCCTAGGAATTTCTGGGCTAAGGCAGTGAACACAGCATGTTATATACTCAACAGAGTATCTGTTAGGGCCATCACCAACAAAACTCCTTATGAACTTATGAAAGGGAGAAAACCTAATATTTCTTAATTTAGATCTTTTGGTTGCAAATGTTTTGTTCACAATAATGGTAAAAGGAACTTGGGAAAGTTTGATGAACGTAGTGATGAGGCAGTTTTCCTAGGATATGCCTCAAATAGTAAAGCTTATAGAGTTTATAATAAAAGAACAATGTGTGTTGAGGAGTCTGTACATATTATATTTGATGAGACTGAAAATTTGGTTGATGTACAGGATTGTGATGATGATTTCGAAATTGGACTTGTGCGTAAGCAAAATCCAGATGAGGAACTAGCATCATTGCAGAAGCAGCATGGTGAAGTTGCAGAAGTAACAAATAATGAAACAAATGCTGAACCAGAGTTGGAGAATGCACCAGGAACTCCACTTCATGAACAGACTGAAGATCTTAATGAAGGCCAAAATGTGGAAACTCCTGAAGAAGTTCAACCTGAGTTCCAGAATCAAGTTCCTACAGAAGAACCAGTCAACAATAATGAAGAGAGGATGTATCCAATCAAAGATTTCACTCCAAGGCCCTGGAAATATCAGAAATCTCATCCAGTTGACACAATCATGAGTGACATCACAAAAGGAACTCAAACCAGATCTCAGCTTAGGAACTTCTGTGCATTCAATGCATTTCTTTCTTCCATGGAACCAAAAAGTTATGTTGAGGCTTTAACTGACGCAGACTGGATTAATGTTATGCAAGCTGAACTAAATGAATTTGAAAGAAATAAAGTTTGGCATCTGGAACCTAGACCTAAAGACAAGAAGTTCATTGTACTAAAATGGGTATTCAGAAACAAACTAGATGAACATGGTATTATTGTCAGGAACAAAGCTAGACTAGTTGTACAAGGTTTCAACCAGCAAGAAGGAATTGACTATGAAGAAACATTTGCACCTGTAGCCAGGTTAGAGGCTATTCATTTACTTATTGCTTTTGCTGCTTATATAGGTTTTAGGCTGTATCAGATGGATGTCAAATGTGCATTCTTAAATGGATACTTAAATGAGGAAGTCTATGTGGAACAGCCTCCTGGATTTGAAAATCCAGAGTTCCCAAACCATGTCTATAAGCTTGACAAGGCTCTTTATGGGTTAAAGCAAGCTCCTAGAGCATGGTATGAAAGATTATCTAAGTTCCTTTTGGCTAATGGTTATAAACGTGGAAAAATTGATAAAACATTGTTTTTAAAGTCAAATGGAACTGATATCTTAGTTGTACAAATTTATGTTGATGATATTTTATTTGGTGCAACTAACGAATCTCTGTGCAAGTATTTTGCTGACCTTATGAGTGGAGAATTTGAAATGAGCATGACTGGAGAATTAAATTTCTTTCTTGGTTTACAAATTAAGCAAACTGAAGAGGGAATTATGATTCATCAGCAAAAATATATTAAGGAACTGATCAAGAAATACAAGTTGGAAAATGCCAAAACCAACAATACTCCTATGGGAATTGCTACTAGATTGGATGAAGATCCATCTGGAACTTGCATTGATCAATCTATGTATCGAGGTATGATAGGTTCACTACTTTATCTAACAGCGAGTAGACCTAACATATATTTTAGTGTGGGTCTGTGTGCCAGGTTCCAAGCAAATCCAAAGGAATCTCACTTGTCAGCAGTAAAAAGAATCCTTAGATACTTGAAAGGAACTGACGATTTGAGTCTCTTCTATCCTAGAAGTGATTCTTTTGATTTGAATAGTTTTACAGATGCTGACTATGCAGGTGATTTGGTAAACAGGAAAAGCACTTCAGGTATGGTACAGTTTTTTAGGACCTTGTTTAGTTTCTTGGGGTTCCAAGAAGCAAAACACAGTTGCTTTATCTACAACAGAAGCTGAGTATGTAGCTGCAGCAGCATGTTGCTCACAAGTTCTATGGATAAAACAACAGGTCAGAGATTTTGGTATTATTTTTAAATGTGTACCGATTTACTGTGATAATACAAGTGCTATATGTATTTCTAAAGATCCAGTTCAACACTCAAAGGTAAAACATATCCACATTAGGCATCACTTTCTAAAAGATAATGTGGAGCAAGGGAATATTAAGTTAGAATTTTGCCAAACTGAAAATCAAATTGCAGATATTCTAACCAAGCCCTTGAACAGAGAAAGATTTGAGAAATTGAGACTGGAACTTGGAATGATCAAGCTGAAGTACTAGCCTCTGAAGTTCCAAGATATGGCAAAGTCAAAAATATTGTAAATAGAGCAAAAAGAACTTGTACCACAAACTTGGTGTGATAAACATAGCTAAAGTGTCACCGCTGTTAACTACCAAAGGTAAGTTCATTAAATTGCTCAACAGTATAAGTTATTAAATTTGTACATCACATACATGTTGAAAGCGTGTTCTAATTGTGTTTTATAGAAACTTCAATCAAGATTAACTGAATTTGGAAATTTAAAATTTTTGAAAGATTCATCCAGTGTTTAAATTTTGAAAAATTAATTGAATTTGTTCAATTAATAACTAAACAGTGAAAACTTCCTAAATTCTCTCCCACCGCTTCATTTATTATAAAAGCAAATTTTCACCCACTTCTTTCACCTCACTGTCACATCAAATTTACTCCCTCTTAGTAAAACTTTGAAAACCCCTTTAAAACCCTTCCTTAAGCTTCAATGGTGATCATTGCTGAGTTTGTTTCCTCTGAAGAATCCCAAAGTCCAGAAAACTCAATTCAGGAAGAATCATCTCCTTTAGCCATGGTAAACTACAAAGCATTTTCTATCTCTCGAACACCTTCTGAAAACCCTAAGAAATCTCCTCCAAAACCAAAAGAAGTAGAGAGTACAATCGATCAAGGAGACTTCTCTGTCTCGAATGTTCTTCAAAAATTAAAGGAGTGGAAGGAAAAAAAACAAAGTGTGAAGTCTCTTGAAGAGAAAATTGAGGAAGTTGATGAATTTGCAAAAGAGAAGAACCCAGAAGAGACAACAGAGGAGAAAAGAGAAGAAGAAGAAATAAGCGAGGGAGAAGAGGAAGAGGAGAACAACTCAGAAAATGAAGAATCGGAAAAGGAAGATGAAGAAGAGGAGGTAACTGATCAAGAGGAACTTGAATCAATGGCAGGAAGGTATGTAGTAGGTCATCGTCTTGACGATGTGTGGTGTGGATAAGCAAGATTTTTAGAGTTTCTTGATTTAATTAAATTTCAAGGTTGGGAATTTCTGTTGACTAGGGTTTCATCAAATTACTTGTATCCTGCTACTATGAATGAATTTTGCAAGAATTTTCAGGCAAAATTAGGAATAATAACGAGCATGGTGAATGATGTAAAGATTGAATTGGACCTAGAAACTCTAGGTAAAATTCTAAAAGCTCCTACTGAAGGTTATGATACTTACTTGAAGGGAAAAAGTAGTATCAATGTAGGGAATTTCATGGCTGGGGATATAGTTGAAGAATTAGGGGGTCAGAGGGGTAAGAAGGTCATGAGTCATAATTATCTAAGTCCTCTAAATAAGCTGCTGTTTAATTTGGTGAAAAAGACTATTCTGCCTAGGACTGCTAAGAAGGGGGAGGCATGCTTAATGGATATGGTTGTAATCATCTGCATTTCAAAGAAGATTAAGGTGAACTTTCCTTCTTTGATGTATCAGCATCTAGCTCATTGTGTTCCAAGTAGGACAAAAGTGGGGTATGGAGCCATTTTGTCTACTGTTTTTGAAAATGCAGGAGTTATTTTAAAAGGAAAATATGGGGCTTTGAATGAGAAGCCAGAAAATGTGATCAATGAGGAAACCCTTGCTGGGTTAAGTCTGGAAGTAGTACAAGGAAAAATTCAAAAATTAGAGAAAGGAGAGAAAAAGAAAGAGAAAGTGACAGGGAAGAGGAAGGAAAAGGCTATGTCAGAACAGCCTGTAAGGAAGAGTAGGAGGATTTCTGCCAGTAGTGTTCCTCAAACTAGCATGGAACAACCACTGGAATTGGATGTCGAGGAAAATATCCTTGAAGGGCAAGTTGCTGAGTTGGCTGACAGAATGGAGAGGGTAGAGAGTCAAATGAAGGACTCTGCTAGAAAAATTCATGTGCTGACACTTGAAAAATTGGTCCAGGAGCAGGGGAAGGAGTTGAAGGAACTCAAGAGAATGATGCCCAAACAGACCAAGGACCTTCAAGAACAGAAGGAGTTCCAGGAGAAAAAACTTCACAAGGCTCTACAGGAACAGAAGGAGGAGTTCCTAGTGAAGCTCAAGGGGGTTGAAGAAAAGTTGGAGGCCTTTGCAAAGCAAACAAAGGAGGACTTCAACAAGATTCTAGAGTTTCTTGAAACCTAGCCTACCCCATCTCATATTCAGCCTACCCCATCTCAAAATCAGCCTAGCTTTTTCTCTCACTGTCTTAGTTATGAACATATTTAATTTTCGTTTTTAAGTATTTGAACAATTTATTTTGGTTGTAAATTTTTAAAATTGTTCATCTAGATGTTAAATATTTTGGTTTATGGAATGAATAGTTGGAACTCTTCTTTTACTAGTGTGTTTTTGTATATTTAAACACTTGTGCTGAAGAGTAGATCTTACTTGAGGTTGTTTAGCAGCGCTGCCTTTAGTTTCCCACACTCGATGAATTGCTTGTGGGGCTGTTGGTGGATGTTTAATAAACTTGAAAATACAGGGCTTTTTGATAATGCCAAAAGGGGGAAAAGAAGAAGCAAACATGGAGGTTGAAGTTGTTCTGGGTTCCAGTTGAGAAAGTATCATAACTTTCTCAGTTTCGTTTACTTTTAGTTTACTTAGCTTACTTTTCGTTTTTGTTTTATTTCTGTTGTGTGTTTATTTTCTGTCAATAAATTTAAAATACAAAAATACGACCTTTTATTTTGTTTTAACTTTCTCAAGAGTTTGCTTAAGTTTGTCATCATCAAAAAGGGGGAAATTGTTGATGTTTAAAGGTTTTGATGATGATGAACTTAAGTTACAGCAAACTCATCTCATAAAGACTTTTCAAGTGTTTGTGCAGCCTAGGTGAAATTGATCTTGGAGATGGAAGAAGTAACTAAAGCTGAGAAGACTTGAAGGAGTTCTTTATCAAGAAAGTTATTCAATATAAAAGAAGAGTTCCCTAACAGGAACTGAGTTCCCTCACAGGAACGTTCCTTCACAGGAACGTTCCTTCACAGGAACGTTTCTTCACAGGAACTTGAAGATTGCTGACTAAGATCTTTGGAGGAACTTAGTAAGCGTGAAGTCCAAGTAAACCTACCAGAACAAGAGTACAGCGCAGCAATGTTTTAGTTAAGATTTTATCTTCTAGATTCATTGTTAAATATGTTAAGTAGGATATGCATGAAACTTATTAGAAGCGTGACAGTTAGCTTGGCAAATAAATTAAAATCGGAAAAGATAAAAGATAAAAATCGGAAAAAGATTTTCTTTAAATATTTATCTCTTAAAATCAGTTTGTTAAAAGATATATTATGCTTTTTAATTCAATATTTCTATCTTATTTTCTAAAAAGATTTTCTTCAAAGGATTTAATTAAAAACCGTGTTTTAAGATAAGTTAAGTTTTACTTATTTATCTTTATGTAAACCTACTGTTTATACAGGTAATACTCGTATAAATAGTAGAGAATAATATGAGCCTAGGTTTTTGTGAGTTTTATGCGTGAAGAATTTACAGAGCTATAGTTGCGTAAGTTTGCCAAGCTTATCATACTGTCATATTAGTTTCGAGTTTCATGCATAGCTTGCCAATCATATACTAGGTGTTAATTCTTGTATTTGGTTTCGGGTTTATTAGGGTAAGAGTATTTTTATCATTGCATACAGAGAGAGCTTCTGGTGAGAAGGGGGAAGATCTGTACTTAGGGAGTACGAGTGAGTTTGAGTGTGGGACTCAAACTGGGTAGAACAAGGTGTTGTTCTGTAGCAAGTTCATTCAGGAACTTGAGAGTAGAGGCTGAATTATAATAGGTTGTAACTTGGTGTTTGCCCTA